CATGCCCAGCTCCAAAACACAACTATAACCAGCCTTAGTTAGAAGTCATGTTTGTGCACAGAAAATGTATTAATCATGATAATGTCCAAAGAATGGTGAGTTCCTGTTCATTTCATGACTATGCATGTATCTACTTTTTTTTTGGTGGTGTTAGGGGTTGAACTCCAGGCCTCAAGTGTGCCAATAACCAGGTTACGCTACCATTTGAGCATACTACTAGCCCCTGTATAACTTGTTATTTTTTTTTGGGGGGGTCCGGTTGTGGGGCCTGAACTCTGGGCCTGGCCACTGTCCCTCAGTTCTTCAGCTCAAGGCTAGCGCTCTACCACTTGAGCCACAGCGCCACTTCCGGCTTTTTTCTTTTTGCTTATGTGGTGCTGAGGAATCGAACCCAGGGCTTCATGCATGCAAGGCAAGTGCTCTACCACTGAGCCACCTTCCCAGCCCCTAACTTGTTATTTTTGAGGTAGGGTCTCAACTTATGCCTCAGCTGACCTGGGCTATGATTCTCCAGTAATAGAGCCATTTTTAGGACCAGTAGATATTATTTTACTATTCATTTTTTAAAGTTATTTCTACCCATTTAATAAGGCAGCCTTGAAAATGAACATGCTTTCTCTGATACTAGAAAAACCGTATTCACATTCACTAATCTTGTTTTATCATAACTTCATTGGTTAACTCACACAGAGTCCTATCAGCTGCCTGGTCAAAACATAATAAAATTGGTTGCCAAGCGACCAAAAAAAATCAGTGTGTTCTTATTTGCTGTAGTTCAGCCCACCACGTCAGCGAGTGACTGGTCAGATCCTATCTGGTATCCTTGCTGGTAATCTCCTGGATATTTGTGTCATTAGAAGCAAAAACAAGGCCTCACCTAGCTAAACTAATAGAGTACTGTGCGTGATTGGTTTTCATGATGAATCTCACTAGTTAAAGAGCATGATCCCAAGAATAAGTGGCGGGATCTAACAGCCCTTGAAAAGATGTTACTGCCCTTACGTGTCCATGACACCCAGTTCCAAAAATGGCCCAACGAACTGCTGATTGTTGTGCTGGGCTTAACTTTTCTTGTCAGAGTCTGGGCAACTCTCCATTACCCTTCCCTGCTGAGGCTGCAAGGGCAGGAGATGGTTGTGGCCTTTCTTCAGGACTGACTCATCTCTGTGCCCTAGGTCTGCTTTGGAGACAGGAGAGCCAAGTATCAGTGGGCTGGTGCTTAGTCTCTCTGTGGCTGATGACTAGCTGTGTGCGTTCCACCTGTGGCTTAGCTGGCAGTGGTTTTAACCCTCTCCCTTTGCAGGGGGGTGGTGGGGAGGAGGTTTAGCAATGTCTTGAGACATTTTCAATGTTTCCAACGGGGGGGGGGTAGGGGAAGGGAGGGGAGTTGCTATGGGCACTTGGAGGGTTAGCGGCCAGAACTGACAGGAAGTGTTCTACAACACCCAAAGAGCAATGAAGGCTGGTCATGTAAGTCCCCGAACCTTTGTGCCTTGGAGGTCCCTGAGATTCACATGCTGTCCATTATAGAAAGTGGACTGAACCTGATTCCCTGCCATTGCTGTCTTGCTAACCTCTCCCTCATGCCAAGTCTGAGTCACTAAATGAGGGCTAGGACTCAAGAACTTTATATATATAATCAATGGCCACTACTGATAAGGAGCAGGGGGAGCGTTCTGAGAGCCACTGCACCCAGAGAACATGTGGACTGAAGTCCTTCTGGGGGTGCTAGATTGCCCCCAAGCAGCATGGACTCTGTGAAGAAAACTAGCAAGAGGAGACAGGTGCTGGTGGTTCACACCTGTAGTCCTAGCTACTCAGGAAGCTGAGATCTGAAGATCACAGTTCAAAGCCATCCGTGGGTAGGAAAGTCCATGACACTCTTGCAGAAAACCAGAGGTGGAGCTGTGGCCCAGTGGTCGAGCGCTACTTGAACAAAAGTGCTCAGACCAAAAAACCCCAAAACCTAGCAAAAAGAAGTGAGAGGCTGGACTATGGGGCTTGACCCTGTGCAATTCCACATGGTAGGAGCCTGCCAGAAAGACGTGAGAGAGGGGAACTGAGCTGGGTATGGGCTCACCAGGAGCACTGCTCCCCCAGTTCCCAGTGCCCCCCCATGCCATGGTGAAGAAGGTGCCATAGAAATAGCAAGACCGGACAGATTCTTCATTAGCACCTCATTTCCTGCTGAACTAGAGCTCTCCAAGTTTAGCCAAGTTTAGCCGTTGTGACCGAAAACCACCACCCCCGGATTCATCAGCCACTCCGATAAGGAAACCTCGCCTGTTACACGACAGGATTGTGTAATTTAAGATCTGCTCAGAGGCCTTGGCAGCTAGGCTGCCCAGCCTCCTTTCCATCTCTGATGTCAGAACTGGGCCTCAGGCTGCAGGGTTAGGAGTGGGCAGGAGGGTCGCAGGAGGCAGGCTGTGTTCTTTGCAGGCTATTATGCTGATAATCCATCCTTCCCTCCCTCCCTCCCTCCCTCCCTTTCTCTCTCCCTTCCTTCCTTCCTTCCCTTCCTTCCCTCCCTCCCTCCCTCCCTCCCTCCCTCCCTTCCTTCCTTCCTTCCTTCCTTCCTTCCTTCCTTCCTGTGTTAAACTGGGGCTTGAACTCATGGCCTCAAGTTCTCACTTGGCTTTTTTGCTCAGGGCTGGAGCTCTACCACTTGAACCATACCCCCAGTCTATTGGCTAATTGGAGATAAGCCTTAAGAGAATTTTCTACTCCCGGGGGCCACAAAGTTCAATCCTCAGATCTCAGCCTCCAGAATAGCTAGGATTACAGGTGTGAGTCTCTAGAACTCTGCTGGTCATTTCTTGCTGATGACCATTTGGGAGGTGGGCAACCCTAAGCTGTCTGACTTTATTGCTCAAAGGAAATGACTTTTAGATGGATCATTACCAACCGCCAAAGTTCCTTCCTTGAGTCTTTCTGGACTATCACAGTGAATGAACAAGCACATTGTGGCTTTCTCCTAGATTAAAATAGTCCAGACATCTAAGCACCTGCCATGATGGTTCCTTTGGCAGAGTTAATATGGATTCTCAAAAGAAGCCTTCCTGAGTGCTCTGTTCAAAGGAGTGTACAGTGCTCGTTGTAGTATTCTGTGGGCTTCATAGCCCTTAATTTATTACTCAAAATTATTATTATTTACTGGTATCAGGGTTTGAGTTAATGGCCTCACACCCAGGTGGTACTCTACCGCTTAACTGCAGCCCTACACCTGCTTTATTTTTCTGGCTATTTTGGAAACAAAAGTCTTGCAGACTTTTTTACCTGGACTGCTTCAAACTGCAATCCTCCTGCGGAGCAGCCAGGATTACAAGTGTGAGTGCTTGGCTGATTTTATCTTTGTGTCTCCTTGCTTGCTATTAGTTTCTTCTTCAGAAAATGTTCTGTCTTTGAGGGAAAGGGCTCTGCTTTGTCTGCTGCTTGTTATCTGCTGAGAGCCTAGAATTAACGCCTACAGCACTGGTGAGTGCTAAATTGATAGTGAATGGGTGAATAAGCCAGCAGTTACAGATGATCCTTTACGCAGTTCTGTGGAATTCTTTTGTTTTCAGAACTAAACAGTGAATGCCCATTTATTGATACATGAAGTGTAGAACTGCTAAGCACACTTGCTTCACGTGTTTGGGGACTAGTGTGCTTGTTTCCTCTTTTTTTTTTTTTTTTTGTACCTGTCTGTCCTGGGCTTGAACTCAGGATCTGTGTGCTGTCCCTGAGGCTTTTTATTCAAGACTAGTGCTACCCACTTGAGCCCCAGCTTCACTTCCATTTTTCTTTTGGTTTTTCTGTTTGCTGGTTAATTGGAGATAAGAGTCTTCCCTGCCAGGGCTGGCTTCAAACCTTGTACTCAGATCTTAGCTTCCTGAGTAGCTAGGATTACACATGTGTGAGCCACCAGTGCTGGATACTTGTTTACTCTTGTAAAAACAAACAACAACAACAACGAAAACCCCTCTATGGGGTAGAGGTGTAGAGACTGTTTGGGGGCCCTGACTGGCTTAGAACTCACACACTTAGAAATCAAAACTAACAGAAGGCTTTCATGGTCAAAGAAGATGCAAAGTCACTCTGGGAATTATGATTTAAAACTGAATCCTACACAACATTCTTTTGGTTTTCCCTTTGGAGATTCTAATTTGTTAGGCTTGTGGTGAGGGCTCGTGGATCCTGGTTTTGTTAAAAAATACTGCTTGGTGATCGTCGCTGTCTGGTCGGGTTTGGGACCCTGTGACCACACCCACCTGCACACCTAGGTGAGCCAATGAGGCTCAGAGCCGTCCTGTGCTTCTCTCTCGGCCCTGCTCAGAAAAGGACTAAGCAAAGGCAACCAGGCTTCGGAAACAGTTGGTTTATTGCTTTTTTTTGTTTACATGTAGCTAACCTGTCTGGTGTCAAACAGGAAGTACCACACAGCATAGCTTTCCTTTTTACTGCAAAGCCTGGTGAGTGAGCTACACTTCTCCATAGCAGTGATGATTAAAGTGGGGTTCTGGGTTCAGTAGCACCCACCCCCCAACTGGTCAGACATGCAAATTCTCAGCCCAGAACCGCTCAATCTGATGCAGGGGGTAGAGTGGGGGGGGCAGAATCTCTTTTACAAGTCATCTTGGTGAGGTGGATAGATGCTGAGTGGGAGAGTCCCCCTTCCATTCCCCCCCTCCACCCCAGTACATCTTACAATCCAGTCATTGGTGAAATAATCTGTTAGCCTGAGTCTTTGCCGTTGATGACTCATTAACCCAGGGTGTGTGTGTGGGGGGGGAAACCTTAGCCTAAAGTGACCACCTGCTTTCCTTAGTGACATTTATTCCAAACATGAGCTGGTGTGAGCAGTCTAGGTTAGAAGGTCCCACAAGCTGTGTATGAGGCACTATGGGGGGGTGGGCGGGGAAGGGCAGTACCCATGACCTCATTCCATCCTGCCAACCAGATATGGTTATTCCTGCTGGGCGCATTTGCAGCCTGAGGCTGGTGGCTTGCCTAGCTATTAGTTGTGCATCTTGCTGGCTGTCATCTCCCTTGAGGGGTGGCTCTCAAATTTGTGCGCAACTGTGATGTCCCCGGGAAGCTTCCCGAGCAGCACAAATTCTCCAGTCCTCCTTCCTAGAGATCTTCACTCAGAGGTCAGAACTGTGGATTTTTGTCAGCTACCCCAGTGAGTAATCTCTTTCTACACTCACTCCTGCTCTAGTGGGTTGGGCCAGATCACCCTCAAGGCTTCTGGAGGTTTTGTGGTCACAGGCCTTGGGCACCCAGTGGAGACATGGGCTGTAGGAATGTGGAAATAAGGGAAGGGGGAGCTTGAGGATCTTTAGAATAGAGAGGTCTCCACTTCCTTCCTGTTTCCACTCAGTTTCCAGGCTTTGGCTTTGAGTGATTTGGGATCCTTTGAGTTAATCTAACTCCAGTTGTATACCTTTGCTTATAGCAAATGTGCTCTGAGAAAGATTGTACCCAGAGGAGAGTGACTTCAGGCTGTAATTCATATCTATAAAGTAATGAATTGCTTCAGCTTTTGAGATTAGATAGGGTATTGAATTTGTTTGGTGGTAAGAATCCATATTTGTTGATTCCGTTGGTTTGTTTGCCTGGGTTGATCTTGGGGCTTGAACTCAGGGCCTGGGTGCTGTCCCTGGGCTAGTGCTCTACCACTTTGAGCCACAGCACCACTTCTGTTTTTTCCAGGTGGTTAATTGGAGAGAAGAATCTCATACACTTTTCTGCCTGAGCTGGCTTTGAACTATGGTCCTCAGATCTCAGCTTCCTGAGTAGCTAGGATTAAAGGCGTGAGCCACTGGTGCCCAGCTTTCCCCGCCCTCCCCTCCCTCCCCCCCAGTACTGAAACTGAAACTCAGGGCTTGCTCAGTTTGCTTGCTAGGCTGGCACTCTACCATTTGAGCCATTTGGAGATGGAGAGTTGTGGATTTTTCTCTTGGGCTGACTTTGAACTGAGATCCTCCAGCTCTGAGTCTCTTGAGTGGCTAGTAACTAGTAGCTACTTTTAAGCCCAGCTTAAAAGTCCTTATTTGTTTTTAGTGATGGACTTGGCATGTTAAGTGAATGTGTTAGTGTTATGATGAGGTGAATAAGTGAAACACCACTAGAAAACCAATTTCAGCTATTTTGCCTGCTGTTCTTGTGTATTGTCTGTCCTCAAGCTTAGAAATAGTTACTGCAATAAAAACTCTTGTATGAAATGGAAACCTGCCCGTCTTTGCCCAATAGAGAAGTCAACTATGTTGAATATTACATTTCTTTACTATATCTTAGTTCCTGAAACAATTGTGTAGGACAAAGAATAAACATGTCAGCTGCTTGAGACCCACACTCTATAAAGCAAGTTAGAAGGCTGGGAAAGTGGCTTAGTGGTAGAGTGCTTGCTGCATGAAGCCCCAAACATGATTCTTCAGTACCATATACACAGAAAAAGCCAGAAATGGTGCTGTGGCTCAAGTGGTAGAGTGCTAGCCTTGAGCAAAAGAAGTTCAGGGACAGTGCCCATGCCCTGAGTTCAGGCCCCAGGACTGGCTCAAAAAAAAAAAAAGCAAGTTAGAGGTGATTTCCCTGATCACTATTACCACACTGTTGGTAGCAGTAATAATGACAATAAGTAGCTGCAGCCACCCTGCGTGTCGGGATTATGCAAACACTCACTCATTTAATCCCCAACAGCCTGGTAGATGCAACAGGCTCAAAAGGCTTAAATCATTTGCCCAGTTCAGGCCTGGGAATGCCAGGGAGGCGGAACTTCCTGTGTCATCACTCCAGCAGGGTCTGGCAAAGTGGGATGTCCTGAGTGTCACTGCAGTTGACAATCAGGAAGGAAACCCAAAAGGTTTGGAGCGATCAGACAGGTAGTTGACAGACTGAAGCGTGCCGACCTGCCTCAAGAGAGCTTTGCAGAGCAGTTTCCTCTCATTCACACATTGTTGTTAGAACAATAATAAGCTTGGTGATTCTTTCCAGGTACCATGTCAATTAGAAACCGCTTATTGGAACCCATTCTGGTGGCTCACTCCTGTCATCCTAGCTACTCCCAAGGCTAAGATCTGAGGATCACAGTTCTAGGCCAGCCCAGACCAAAAAACAAAAGAGGATCCGTTGTAAACAGCAGCTGAGAGTGGTGCCGTATGTGTGTCAGCCCATGGGACAGTGCCTAGGCCCCAGCAAAGACGTATAAATACATCTACCTGGGCTGGGAAGGTGGCTCAGTGGTAAAGTGCTTGCCTTGCATGCATGAGGCCCTGGGTTCGATTCCTCAGCACCACATAAGCAGAAAAAGTCAGAAGCGGCGCTGTGGCTCAAGTGGTAGAGCGCTAGCCTTGAGCTGAAGAGCTGAGGGACAGCGCCCAGGCCTAGAGATCAAGCCCCATGACTGGCCAAAAAAAATACATCTACTTGGGAAAGATATATATATATATATATATATATATATATATATATATATATAATAGGATGATGGTCCAGTTTGGCCTGGGCAAAAAAGTGAGACCATGCATCAAAAATAACTAGAGCAACAAAAGCTGGAGATGTGGCTCAAATGCCTAACAAACGTAAGGCCCTGTGTTCAAATCCCACTACTTCCTTTCCACCCCATAAAAGAGACAGCACACTAGTGGGGGTACATCTTGTTCTAGAAACGTCTACCGATTACAGCACAAATGAGACTGGGAAAATGAACTATGAGCTAATGAAACATGAGATTGATGTGGTAATTGTAGCCATCTCTTACAGAAATGAATGTGCCTTGATGAGAGTAATTACTGAATGTGTCTTATGGACCAAACAAGGTTTTAAGTACTTTGTAGGAACTATATTGTTTAAGCCTTACAAAATAATCCAATTATTATTCCAGTTCCACAGAGGAGGCCAATGAGGCAGAGAAGGTGCAATCATTTGCTCAAGATCACACAGAGTGACTGGTCTGTCTCCAGGGCCCAGGCGCTTAGCTTTCTGCTTTATACTAAGTCTTCCATCCTGAGGTGCAGCATGAGAAATTTCTATTATGGTGCCTTGAATTATTCTAGAAGTTAGTTAAAACATGGTTGTTAAATTTTATTTCATGTTAATTTAAATTTTTTTATCATGAACATACTTCTACAAGGCCTGATATATATATATATATATAAATATATATATTTATATATATTTATATATATATATGGAGCTTGTTGTTGTCAGTCGTGGAACTTGAACTCTGGGCCGGGGCACTGTCCCTCAGCTCTTCAGCTCAAGGCTAGCGCTCTACCGCTTGAGCCACAGCACCACTTCCGGCTTTTTTCTTTTTTCTTATGGGGTGCTGAGGAATCGAACCCAGGGCCTCATGCATGCAAGGCAAGCGCTCTATCACTGAGCCACCTTCCCAGCCCTGGAAGCATCTTAAGCACTGGTAAGAATGGGGCCTGGGATCTGAAGGCTGAGCTTCTAGAACCTGGGACTGTAGCTCAGTGGTCACTGATTGCCTAGCACATGTTAGACCCTGGGCTCTACCTTCTCCACTGCAGAGAATTAAGACAAAACAAAACAAAACAACAACAAAACACCATACAAGTTTGTATTCCTGACTACTTGGGAGGCTGAGGGAGGAGAATTACCCCGGTCTTTGTAGTCTGAGACCAGCCTGGGAAAACTGAAACCCTTATCTCAAAATAGTAACAGCAAAAACTGGCCGGGTGCCAGTGGCTCATGTCTATAATCCTAGCTACTCAGGAGGCTGAGATCTGAGGATCACAGTTCAAAGCCAGCCCAGGCAAGAAAGTCCATGAGACTCTCATCTCCAATAAACCACTAGAAAACTGAAAGTGGCACTGTGGCTCTAGTGGTAGAGCGTTTGCCTTGAGCTGAAGAGCTGAGGGACAGCACTGAGGTCCAGAGTTCAAGCCCCACAACCGACAAAAACAACACCAACAACAAAACTAACAAAAAACTGGATGGCTGAGATTTTTCCTTCTATTTCCCTTAAAACAACAACACAACACTGATGTATGACTGACATATAAAGAGCTATATATATCTAATATACTCATCTCCATGAGTTTGGGCAAGTGTTTACCCACAAAACTATCAACTCACACACTGACCCCCCTCCCCATTTCCTCTTGCTTCTTTTCTTATTGCTGTGGTTTTTGTGATCCACTGTCATAGCAAAATTCAAGTTTATAATACAATATTGTTAGCAATATCACTATGCAATATAGTAGCTCTTTACAACTTATGTGCTATGAACAATTCAAAATTTCTTTTTGACTATACTGGATTTTGAACTCAAGCCTAGGCTGGCATTTTACTGCTTGAGCCACATCTTCTTTTTTTTTCTTTTTTGTCGGTTGTGGGGCTTGAACTCTGGGCCTGGGCGCTGTCCCTCAGCTCTTCAGCTCAAGGCTAGTGTTCTACCACTTGAGCTACAGCGCCACTTCCGGTTTTCTGGTGGTTTATTGGAGATAGGAGTCTCATGGTCTCTCCTGCCCGGGCTGGCTTTGAACCGAGATCCTCAGCCTCCTGAGTAGCTAGGATTACAGGCGTGAGCCACCAGCGCCCGGCTTTGAGCCACATCTTTATCCCTGATTTTGCTGTGTTTTTGTTGTTGTTGTTGTTGTCAGTCATGGAGCTTGAACTCTGGGCCTGGGCGCTGTCCCTCAGCTCTTCAGCTCAAGGCAAGCACTCTACCACTTGAGCCACAGTGCCGCTTCAGTTTTCTGGTGGTTTATTGGAGATGAAAGTTTCATGGACTTTCCTGCCTGGGCTGGCTTTGAACCATGATCCTTAGATCTCAGCCTCCTGAGTAGCTAGGATTACAGGTGTGAGCCACTGGCGCCCAGCTGATTATTTTTGAAATAGGGTCTCCTGAGCTTTTCTGTCTGGGCTGGCCTTGAACCACAACCATCGGCCTTCCCTGTAGCTAATACGAGCCATCATTCCTACTTGCCACTTCTGTGAGGTTGGTAGTTTTAGACTTTAAGTGAGGCAGAATGTTCTTCGGGTCCATCCATGTTGTTGCATTGGCAGACCTGTCTTCTTTTTTTAAGGCTGAATAACAGATATGAGTAATCATATCTGTAGTCTACCTTTTCTTTATCCCTTAATCTCTTGGAGATTCTGGTTTCAATTCCTTTGAGTGTCTACC